TGCTGGATCTTCTTGTCCGCTTGCTCCCGTGCCGCCCAGCCCCTGCCCTTCTGCGCCTCGGGATCCCTGGTGCTAATAGGGTCGGTAATGGTGACGTCGCATACGTATACGGCCCCACTGCTTTGGTCCGTCATTGTAAAAATCTGCGGTCTGCTCCTCAATGGGGCAATGCGCTGACGACTCGCTGTGAACGATGAACCCCGCGTCCTGGGCCATGCTAATGCACGCATCGCGCAGCTCGTTATGGGTGTTTATGCGATGCTTGCCCGTGTCGAAGCGGAGTAGGTGGTTAGGGAGGCGGGGGTCCGTGATGGCGGTGTGGTCAGTGCAGTCACAGTTCTTTGGTGTGGAAAAGGGGAGGGCCAGCCGGAAACGCACGGCATTAGAGTAGTGAGTGGGCCCTATCCTCCTGTTGGCCGCAATGGGGATAGCGGTTAGCCAATCCCCGGTCCCGTAGCCGGTCAGTGAGTACATCCGCTGCGTGTGTCCGCACAGGGGGTTCAGCGCCATTTGTCGTGTCTCCCTGACCTGGTCGGCATATCTGCTCCCATGTACCCTCAGTGCCAATGCGTGCTGGAGCCTTGTGTCTGATCGCTCCAGCCGTCCTTTCTCCAGGATCTCTCGTGCGTCGTCAGGTAATGCCGCTTCGCACTCCGAGAGCCATGCGTGGAGAGGCGTGGCGATGTCCGCAGGCAGCAGCATGTGGTCCCGAGCCTGCGTCAGCGCGCCATCAGGGGCTCCGTCCAGTGAAGCCATGAAGAGCGCAGCCTGTGTGAAGCTCGCTGCGTACTCATACAGTCCCTCAATTAGGGGGTCGGTAAGGCCTATCCCCCCAAAGACGGCGGCAGTGAGGCCTGCGCCCAGACATGCGCTTGTTCGGTGCGGCAGGTGGGGACACAGATGCTGCATGCTGTGAGTAGTGCTGCAAGCAGATCAGTCCCCCACTGACTCCAGGTGTCGTGAGGCAAGAGATGGAGCGGAGTTGTTCTAGTGAGGTATGCCACCCGCCTTGAAACACAGCGGGTGAGCAATAACGAAGCTACCTGGGGGTCGGCTTTCTCAAGGAGTGGCAAAGGCTTTGCCATTTCCCGTAACTGACCCGACAGGAACTGTGCCGCCCCGCTGTCGGGACCCACGAAGCTTCCAAGCAGGCGAACACCGTCCTGGGAAAATGGAACTCCCTGCGGCAGCAGATCCTTCACTGCTGCTTCCCTGCTCCAGGCTGCACATTTCTGCGCATTGTGTCTACGCCCCAGATGCGCCAACCGCTCGGTGAAATGATTGAATGCGGCTACAGTGGCCTTCGCCTCCCCCAGGAATGTGACATCGTCGGAGTAGGCCAGACAAAGCACATGGGGATAAGCCTCAGCAGTGTCGCGAAGTGCTGTGTGTATTCCTGCCGCAAACAGTAGAGGGCCAAGTGGGTCCCCTTGACGCACGCCCCGTTCGCTGGTCAGCGGGTGTGATTCAAAATTTGCATCAAGATGCAACTTGGACGGGTTACCATAGGTCAGTTTCACCAGCGGCACTAGTGGCGATAGCCCCGGCTCTTGTAACGCTGTCGCGATAGCTTGTCGGGATATGCTGTTGAATGCATTCGAGATATCGGTCTGCAGCACCAGGCTGTTGGGTAGCTTGTCCAGATACGCCCGAGCCACGTGGATAACTGCCTCGGCTCCTCCTGGTACAGCTACCCCATACTGTAGAGGCAGGAAATAGGCACGTGCAGCATCGCCCATGGCTGCGAGGGCTGCCTTGGCTGTCAGCCGGGTGATGCACTCGCCAATGGCGATTGGTCGAGCCCCCCCACCAGGCTTGGCCAGGGCTATGAGTCGCGAGGCTGTCAATAGATCTGCCTCCGGTGCTGGTAGGTTGCCCCCCAAAATGGTGTTTACCAATGCGTGCAGATGGGTGCTGACTCGTCCGTTCGTGATTGCCGCGTCGCGCAAATGCTCGAACGTTGTTCCCGAAGGTCCGGCACCGACCCCGTTCTCGCACCTCCCCAGCAATTTGGCGAAGTCCGCATGGGTGATGGACAATTTTGACTCGGGTGTGGGTGGCCACGTCGTTTGTCCTGTTTCGGCTGGCGGATGTTTTCGTCGGAGCTCCTCCAGAATTTCTGGAGTTGGTTTGCAGACTGGCGTTGACTCCAACGCCAACACGGCTCGGCGCAGGCTACCACGTTTCGCCAGGCCTTCGGCTCGGCTGATGACCCCGGTAGCATCGGGCTGATGACATGGTGGCGCGGGTGAGTTGACTGTGTCAATCGCGTCCCTGTACAGTTGGTCCCATTCGCCACGCTGGAAGGCTCGGAGCCGGGCCTTGATCTGGGGCCAGTTCGGTTTCCGTGGCCAGTTTTGGCGAATCGTCAGATGCGGTAGAAAGAGGAGAAGGCGCCAACCCGCCTCTGATTCCGGGTTTCGTGACAGGTGGAGTAACGGGGTCAGCAGCGCCTGCGAAAACAGCTGGCACAAATTTGGCGGTAACCGCCGTGCCAGAGATGGCTGTCGACTATCGCAGAGGGCAGGGATATCCCAGTTCGCGACGTCCGCGAACCAGTCTGCCCGCATCGCCAGTTCCTCTGGCGTGAAGTAGCGAGGGAGGTTGGGATTTTCTCGCACCGCCTCCGTGTCCGTCGCGGCCCGATGTCGCCTGCTGCGGCCCGTCCTCGCTTGGGATTGTGTGGTTGGAATTTCGCCCGTACGATCGGCATCGGACGGTCCACCTGCAGTGTCCCGTTGCTCGCCTTGGGACCGCAATGGTCTTGCTCCCGTCCTCCTCCCGTTCTCCCGTACTCCTTCCTCTCCTTCCGTCCCTTCATCTTCGCTCGAGGGCATGGGCTCCTCCCTATAAGAGGGGTCAGTTCCCTCTTCGTCATTATGTAGCCTGCTTAAAGCCCTTCGAGCCTCTATCTGATAGCCGTTCTCCGGCCCTCCTCCCTGTCCGCTAGCTGCTCCTCGCCCTCCACCGCGCGCTCCCCGGCCCCGCGATGGTGATAGCTGGAGTGACCGATTACTCGCCAATGCGCGCTGGCGCCGCGTCGGTTGCGTTCGAAAGGCTGTCATCTGCCTCTGGAGCGGGGACCTTGGCGACGGGGTCCCCGCCGCTGTCTGCTCCGAAGCCCTTGACAGTAGCCGCTGAAATGACTCCTCCCCTCGAATCCGCGGGTCCTCATGACGTGAACGGGGCTGCGCCGTCTGCGCCGGTTGTTGCTCACCCTGCTCCGCCTGTTGCCCCTGTTCCCCCTGCTCCTGTTGTGCCGCCGGCGGCCTCTGCTCCTGCTGGGGAGGTTTCTGTTCCTCTCGTCCCTGTCCCTGTTGCGCCCATTGCACCTGCCGTTTCTGTCCCCGGCGTGCTTGCGCCGGCGTCTGCTTCGTCCCCGAAGGCGGTGTCAGCCACCACTGGCGGGCCGGCCCCGCTGGTTGCGCCTCAGGGCGTGGACCAGCCTGGTCCCGCTCTTCCGCCGGCGGCCCCTGTAGTGCTCCCGGCCCGTCCCCAATCGCCAGACCGCCGACTCTCCCGCCCCCATTCTCCCGCACCCCAGCAGGAGCGGGAGTCGTCGCGGCGCCGGCGCAACTCTCCCCGGCGCTACCAGCAGCAGGCCTAGTGGCCCGCTCATCGCGGTGGGAATGGGGGCTGGAGGGGTCCCCGCGGGGCGTTCCGCCCGCCTGTGACAATGGCGGATCTTCAGCGGGAGGTGTCACGGGCCGTGCGTGAAGAGAGGGCGGCGTTGAGCCAGAGCAGTTCCCCGCGGGCCGCGCCGGCGCCCGAGGCTCCTCGTCCGACTGCGCCTCCTGTGGTCCCTCCGCCGGCTGCTGCGTTTCCTCCACCCGCCCTCGGCCCGTCAGCTCCTTCTCTGTCTGTGGCGGCGCCTGCTCCCGGCTCTCGTCTGCATCTGCCGCCGGTTCCGCCTGTTGCGGGGGTGGAGTTCGTGGCCGCGGGTGGAGGCGCGGCAGCGACTCAGTATGCAGCTGATGAGCCGCTCCAGTTCCTGGCGGAGGCGCTTCAGCCTCCGCAGACTCGTGTTCCCCAGTCGACTCTCGGTCAGCTCCACCGCCTCGCCGAGAGTCTCCACGCGTTGCTGCTGATACAGGTCCTTGCTCACTCCTCACTCCCTGTGATCTCTCCTGAGTCATTGCGCGACCGTCCGCGCGAGACTTGCCTGGATGCGGCGGACCAGCTCGCAGTGCTGCTGGCGCCCGTGCTGGCTGCGCCCGCGGAGGGAGGCGCTGCTGCTGCGGGACAGCTGGACGAGGCTGTCCGGAGCTTGAAGCGGCATTTGCGCGCAGGATCTGGAGCCGCGGCGATCGGCGCAAGCACGCTTGTGGTCCGGGAGCTGTGGCGCTCCCTGACGGGCGTTCTTCACGCCCTTGGAGCTCACCGCATGTAGGCGCGGGCTCCAGTTGCTCCATTAGTGATTTTCGCGGCTAGGCCGCGGTAGGTGCTGCCATGTGTGTAATGATCGTGACTATAAACCGTCCTGTTGTGATTACTTGCCGTCCCCTCGCGCGCGGCCGCCGAAGGCGGCCGGCGCGAGCGAAAAATTCTCAGCCGCCAAACTAACAATGAGAAAACGGCCTTAGGAAGGCCTTAAGTAGGGCCCAGAGGCTGCGGGCAGAGGCTAAGGGCTGAGGGGAGAGGCTATTCCTCTCTCTCTCTCTCTCTCTCGCTCTCTCGAACCAGCGAAAAATTCTCAGCCGCCAAACTAACAATGAGAAAACGGCCTTAGGAAGGCCTTAAGTAGGGCCCAGAGGCTGCGGGCAGAGGCTAAGGGCTGAGGGGAGAGGCTATTCCTCTCTCTCTCTCTCTCTCTCTCTCTCTCTCTCTCTCTCTCTCTCTCTCTCTCTCTCTCTCTCTCTCTCTCTCTCTCTCTCTATCTCTCTCTCTCTCTCTCTCTCTCTCTCTCTCTCTCTCTCTCTCTCTATCTCTCTCTCTCTCTCGTATAAATATTTCTATGCCTCACGTCGTGCTTGATGGTAGAGATAGAGGAGGGGGAGTGAATGAGAGAGGAGTGCAGAAGTGAGGCAAGTGTGAGGGTGAGAGGAGCCGTTTTGACCGGGGCTATCCCACGCTCTACTTCAACCATCTCCATCCCTCTCATCACCACCTCCCTCCCTCTCCCCTTGCTCCCTCAGGCGGTGGCGTCAATTCTCCTGCGCCACCACTTGAGCGGGCGGCTGGCGCCTGTGGGCATGCAGGGCCATGAGGTGGAGCTGGTGTGTGCAATCGCGCGCGTGGAGAGCTCGTGGGAGCCCTTGGCATACAGATTCGAGCCGCACAAGGGGGAGGCCAGCACGGGGCTCATGCAGGTGCGAGACATTGGGAGAGGGAGGGAGAGAGGGGGCGGGGATGCGTGTTCATTCGTGAGAGAGAGTTGTCTCTAAAATGCGTGCAAAGCCATCGTGGGGAGGCAAGCACAGGGCTCATGCAAGTGGGGGAGAGACGTGTCATTCTAGCTGTTTTGGCATGTCTCACATGTTGCACGGAAATCCACAGCCAGGATGACATGTTTGTCTACATGACATATCGCCATGACATGTCTTCCTAACTGTGAGCAGGTGCTGCAGTCAACAGCCATGTGGCTGGCAGAAGACATGGGGTACCACGCCTACACGGTAGACTGGGCGTCCGCAATGCTCTACCCTCCGTTCCTGGGGATGTACTATGGCATGGCGTACCTTGCATGGCTCACGAATTTCAAGGGCGTGTGAGTGCTTGACATGTGTTTTCGCATGTCATGCTGTAGAAAGAAAGCTCTTGTATAGGTGACCTGGGTTGACATAGAAGGGAAACCGTGGGGGTGGTACAGACAATGCACTCGCCCGCTCCCTCTCCGCTCCCACCATCCCCCCCCCCCCTCCCTACCCTTACCCCTCCCCCTCCCCCTACCCCTCCCTCTACCCCTCCCACTACCCTTTTCCCTCCCCCCTCCCCCTCCCCCTACCCCTCTCCCTCATCAGCCATCGCAGTGAGGAGTTTGTGGTGTGGGCATACAACGGAGGGCCGAGGGGGGCGGATAAGCCAGCCACAACAGTCTACTGGAGGAGGTACCTCAGGGCAAAAGAGGTGACGGTGGGGTGTGGGTGGGTGCATGGGGATAAGGGGATTTCAGCGTGTAGTTGTGCGTGAGGAGTAGCAGGGTAGTGCGGGTTTTGCACAGCAGCGGCAAGACGTTCGATGCAGTCATGCTGGCCGTGCTGTATTGTAGAACCTTATGAGCATTGCCACTATACGCAGACTGGGCAAGAAAACTGGTGCACTGTGCATAAGTCGTCTGAGTGGTATAAGTAACTTTCTAAATTTCGCGCGTCCATCCACTCTGCTGGTGATTGCAGGAGATCCGCAGGATGCCAAAGGAGATACGCAACATGCCACGTGGCTCATCCGCTCCATCCCTGCCGTCAACATCTGGTTCATCTACACCATCCCCATCTCCAGCCGTCCATTCCTGTATCCACTCCAGTGTTCAACCTGACTGGGATCAGGAAATGGTTCACATGTTAGTAAGTGGCTCGGCCAAGGGAGCCCAAGGAATGCTTGACATGCTACAAGGCTCATCCATGTCAGTACAGTTGCTCATCCGTGTCAACTCCAGAAATGGTCGAGAATTTTCGTGCTCCATCCATGTCAGCACAGGAAACGCTCATCGGGTGACGTGGCTCATCCATGTCAGCACAGGAAATGCGCCTATCATCTAAGCCTATTTATAGACTGCTTGACATGGCACTTGGTTCGTCCATGTCGGTGCATGAAATGACCGTTGCGCTCCGCGCCTCATCTATGTCAGTACGGGAAATGGTTCACATGTTACTTGGCTCATCTATGTCGGTACAGGAAATGCTCTACTGGTTGCACCGTGTTGCACAAGATCCGGTCACTTTGAAGACTTACGACGAATTCATTGCTCAACTAAAGGCAAATCCTCTCGGTAGGATTGTGCACGCTAGTCTTAGCTACCATTTGCAAGTTGAATCACTTGATTTCATGGTCTAGTGAGTGAGAACGAACTAAGAACGTATAGCTGCTGCTTTCACTAGAATGGAATGGAGGAAGAACAAACATTAGGCATAGAATAAGGAGTTGGGGGTTTCAAGAGAACCTTGTGAGGGAAGGCTCTCCAAATGCTTGGGAAGGATAGTAGGATCCTTCCTAGCATCAAAGATGCAACCCTCATAATGAGGTCCTTGATGTGTCACATGCAAAATCCAATCCAATTGAATTTTGCCTAGGTGTTGCAACATTTGCAACCCATGCTAGAAACTTCTAGCCACCCCAATCCAAAAGTCAAAGTTGCCTTCCTAACCACCCAACCAAAGATCCCTTTATAGTCATGACCCAATAATCGCCCAATTTAGTTAATACCCCAAACTAAGATAGAATTCCCAAATCTTGGAAATCTTGTAACTTGGGCGATCTTGGTCGGAATAAGGCGATCTTGGTATCGTTGGAAAGCTCTGGATTTCTCCTGCGCGATCATGCATTTAGACTTGGAGAAAAACACAGAGGTGATAAAATCCAACAGCCATGCATAATAAATTATGCTCATGCAAATGACGTAAGCATGAATTGCACGAGCACACAGCAGGACGTTAGGATGACATGCACTCACACTGACGTGCATACAACAAACTCCCCCTCAGACTAACGGACTGCATGCACACACAGTCACACGCATGCAAACTTATCACACACACAAACACACATGCCCCCATGACATTGCTGGACACGCTAGTGCAACGCCATGCCACACATCTTAGCACACTTCCAATGTGCGCTCTCGGGAAGTCTCTTGGTAAGAAAATCAGCTGCTTGCTTGCTGGCCTTCACATAATGAAGCTCAATAGCCCCCTCCTTCACCATCTGCCTCACCCAGTGCCACTTAACCTTCATGTGCTTGTTCAGCCCATTCAGGATAGGATTAGTGGCCATGGCAATAGCACTCTCGCTGTCAGAGAAAAGTGGTGTAGGTCCCTCCTGTTCAGCTCCCATGTCCTCCAGCAGCTTTCTCAAGAGCACAATCTCCTTAATGGCGTGGTACATCGCCATGTACTCTGCCTCTGCCGAAGACTGAGCAATCTCACTCTGCTTCTTGGACCTCCAACTCACTGGTCCTCCTCCGACCATGCACACATAGCCACCCACAGATGACTGATCCTCATCCTCCGAGGCCCATGTAGCGTCAGTGAAGCACGATAGCTTCAAGGTTCCAGGCATGATCCTATCTGCTCCAGGTTGCTTTAGCTGTCCTCCAGCTGAAAACTGAACACCAGCAGATGCGGTAGAGCCGAGGTAGCGCACCATGCGCTTTGCCACCTCTAGATGCTCCTCTGTGGGCTGCTGCACAACTCTGGCTAGCTGCCCCACTCCGAATGAAGCATCAGGTCGCGTATGCACAGCTGCATACATAAGACTCCCAATGAGTGACTGGTACTCATTCTGCAGCTCATCCTCGAGCACATCATCATCCTCAGCTGCTTTCTGTAACTTGTAGCCTGCAGGAAATGGCGTCATCACAGTGCGACCCCCAGTCACACCATAACGCTCCATCACGCCAGAGATGTAGTGTGACTGATGCATTTTCAGCCACTTCCTCTCGACATCTCGCTCAATCTGCAGCCCCAAGAAATAGTGGACATCCCCAAGATTCTTGCACTTGAAATTGTCCACAAGCAGCTTTTGAGCCCTTTCAATCTGCTCCATGGAAGGTGAGAACAGCAGTATGTCGTCGACATACACCAGCAGCAAGAGCCGCTGCTCCCCCTCTCCGAGCAGGAACAAGCTGTGGTCAGCTTGGGATGTTTTGAAGCCTCCAGCTAGCAGCACCTGCTCGAGCTTCTCGTACCAGCACCTAGGTGCTTGCTTAAGGCCATAGATAGCCTTCTTAAGCTTGCACACCCGGCCAGTACCATCATCATAACCGTCAGGCTGCTTCATGTAGGTATCCTCCAACAGTATTCCATTCAGGAATGCAGTGGTGATATCCATCTGCTTCACATTCCATCCCTTCACAGCTGCGCCAGCCAGCAAAGTCCTCAATGTTACTGGCTTAGCCACAGGAGCAAAGATCGCCTTGAAGTCGATCTTTTCATTCTGCTGAAACCCTTTGGCGACCAAGCGGCTCTTGAGCCGCTCCAGTGCTCCATCAGCATCCGTCTTCACTTTGAAGACCCACTTGCTGCTGATGGGCCGTCGCCCTTCGGGTAGCTCTACAAGCTCCCAAGTCCCATTCTCAATGAGACTGTTGAACTCCGCATCCATGGCAGCCTTCCACTCTTCCTTCTGGGGTCCATTGAGTGCCTCTTCCAACGTGGCTGGTTCTCCAGGCAAGGGTGTGAAGAAGCAAAAAGCCATCTCTTCATCATCCCCTTTATCAGCCTGAACAGCCATGGCACCCTGCTTGGGTCCTCCCAAACGGCTGTACTTCAGCCTTGAAGGTGGTGCTGCCACTCTCTTCTCGCGGGTAGCAGCTTGCTGCCCTAATGGTGAAGCTCTTTTCTGCACACTCCCTTTTGTGACCTTGGCTTGAACAGCAGGCTCAGGTTGAGATGGTGAGTCCACACGCACTGACTCATCCTCCAACCCCTCCTCCGCAGCAGGACCAGAAACTTGCTGCTCACCACCGCCACTGTGGTCACTGGTCAGCTCTGACCCAGGGAGTTCATCGAGGTGTAGTTGAACCTCCTCCACTGCAGACCGCTCTATCTCCTGCGGACGCAGGCCGATCTGCACTTGTTGCTGCTGCTGCCAGTCTTTGTACATGACTTCCTCCACAAATTTGACGTCACGACTGACCAGCGTTTTCTTGCTCTTGGGGTCCCACATCAGCCACCCCTTCGAGTCAGGCGCCATCCCAAGATGGACAGCCCACACAGCAGCAACTTCGAGCTTGTGTCTCTGGTCCTTAGGCACCATCACGAGACCCATGCAGCCCCATACACGCAGCATGTCAATGGTTGGCTTCTTGCCAAGCCAACGCTCATACGGCACCCAGTGCTTCGCGCCAACATGCGTCAAGACCCTGTTCTTGACAGTAATGACTTGGCGAACAGCGTCAGGCCAGAACTTGTAGGGCATTCCAGCAGCCCCCAGCAAGGTTTTGGCCGCCTCGCCAATGGTCCGGTTGGCACGCTCGGCAATGCCGTTTTGCTGCGGTGTTCCAGGGCAGGTCAGCTGGTGTCGGATGCCGTTCCTCTTGAGGAATTTGGTGAAATCAGTTCCAAGGAACTCACCACCACGGTCACTCCGAAGCACCTTTACCAGTCTCATGGACTGCCGCTCTACCATTGGCAGCCAATCCTCTTTGATTGCTGCAGCGGCATCACTCTTTTTTGACAAGGGACGAGCCCATGTGAATCGGCTCCATTCGTCCACCATGGTGAGGAAGTATAATGCTCCCCCAGTCCCCTCAGTCCGCATAGGACCTACAAGGTCCATGTGCACCACCTCCAATGGTGCCTTCGCTGATCCCTCTGCACGTGGGAATGGAAATCGCACGAACTTGTTCTGCATGCATGCCTCGCAGCCGCCAAAGGCAGCGCCATCACCATGCACTTGCAGGCCGTGTACGCACTTCTCCTTGTGCATCAACTCCAAAGTGGAGAGAGCCACATGTGCAAGTCGCCGATGCCAAGTCTCCCAATCAGCTTGGCCCGAGGTAGCTGACGCCTTCACGGCTGCGCTTGCGCCAATCAGCTCCTCAGTTTGCACACAATATTGCTCATCCATTGAAGCCACGGCAGCCGCTTTACCCGATCTGTGCCAAGGGAGAACAGGGATTTGCCACATACGCTTGTGGACATCTCCCTTGCGCTGCAGGTCCCAGATAAGGCGCGTATCGTTGTATGCACGATAGCGCTCCGAGCCAATGGTCTCGGTATTCACACCTGCGTCTCCCAATCGGCCGGTCGAGATCAGGTTCGCGCACAAGTCTGGCACCCAGAGCACGTTCTTCAATCCCACAAGCTCACCATCCGCTCCCATGAACTTGGCGCATCCCATGCCCATGACTTTGGCCTTTGCACCAGTCGTGGATGTGACTGTAGAGATCGGTGCGGGCTGGATCTCATCAAGAAGATCCGCACGAGGAGTCATGTGCCAGAAGCTTCCAGAGTCAATCACCCAATGGGTGAGGGGATGAAGGAGAACATTGGCAGCCATAGCGGGGTCGGTCATTCCTTCATTCACAAAGAAGAAGAACCCGGCCCTTCGCTTTTCAGGTTTGCCACCCCTCTCATCATCCTTCTCCTCTCCACTAGCTCCCATGACTCCCCCACTCCTCTTGCCACCATGCTGGTTGCTTGAGGAAGGCGGGGTCCAATCTTGGGGCCGTTGGTAGCATTTTCTCCAACGATGGCCGCGCTTCTTGCAATAGAAGCACACCTCCCCTTGGCCTCCGCCACTCTCCTCTCGGGAGTTTTCATTCTTTTTGCCCTTCCACTTCTTTTTGAAGCCGCTCTTCCCACCTCCAACTCCATAACCAGCACCATCCCCTGAGTGCTCTACACTTCGGCGCCTCAGATCCTCTTCAAGGATTCGCGCTCGAATGTAATTCACACTCCATTGGGATTGCTGGGAGTTGAGGTTGATGGCTAGGGCAGACCACCACTCAGGAAGTCGGATCACGATCTCCACGCACTGAACAAGCTCAGGGTAGACAACGCCACCACTCTTGAGCTTCGTGAAGATGTCTCGCATCTCATCCAACACGGGCTGCATTGGCTCTCCATCAACAAATTTGATGTCGCGCAATCGTCGCGCAAGTAGCACAATGCCCGTAGCATGTGTTGGTGAGTGCACATCAAGGAGTTTCCTCCATGCTTTGAGTCCACACTCGGGATCACCCAATAGGCCTTTGATATGGTCAAGTTGGCGTCCACCAACCGCTTGGACCATGAGCATATACGCATCAAATGAGCGTTTTATCCATGCTCCTTTCAAGTCCACGGCCTATGGCATCCTTTCCTTTCCTTCCACCACATCCAACAACTTAAATCGGGTAAACATGAGCCTCATACGGAAACTCCAGTGCTCATAATCCTCCCCCATGAACTTCTCAATAGAGAAGACTTTCATAGGATCCACAGATATAGGAGATGGTGTAGTGGAAGAGGGTAGCACAGGGGTAGTTGGTTGGTGAGTTCCCACTCCACCACCAACTACTCTCCCTTGCTCTCCAGCCTCTCCACTCCCAGCCATTCCATCATTAGCACCTCGCAAGGCTTTAGGCACGGTGGAATCTTGAAAAATCGCTTGGACATTCTGCCAGAAATTTTGCTTTTACGAAAAACGCCGTCACGGCTAGCACACTTTGAATTAGGATGCAATTTGAACACCAATCGAAAGATCGCAAGCAGAGCTACAATAACTTGGTCTCACTTGTCAAAATTGGTCGAGCATTGATGACGATTCGTCGCTTCAAAGTCGACCACCCGCTCTCATACCACTTGTTGCACAAGATCCGGTCACTTTGAAGACTTACGACGAATTCATTTCTCAAATAAAGGCAAATCCTCTCGGTATGATTGCGCGCGCTAGTCTTAGCTACCATTTGCAAGTTGAATGACTTGATTTCATAGTCTAGTAAGTGAGAACGAAGTAAAAACGTATAGCTGCTGCTTTCACTAGAATGGAATGGAGGAAGAACAAACATTAGGCATAGAATAAGGAGTTGGGGGTTTCAAGAGAACCTTGTGAGGGAAGGCTCTCCAAATGCTTGGGAAGGATAGTAGGATCCTTCCTAGCATCAAAGATGCAACCCTCATAATGAGGTCCTTGATGTGTCACATGCAAAATCCAATCCAATTGAATTTTGCCTAGGTGTTGCAACATTTGCAACCCATGCTAGAAACTTCTAGCCACCCCAATCCAAAAGTCAAAGTTGCCTTCCTAACCACCCAACCAAAGATCCCTTTATAGTCATGACCCAATAATCGCCCAATTTAGTTAATACCCCAAACTAAGATAGAATTCCCAAATCTTGGAAATCTTGTAACTTGGGCGATCTTGGTCGGAATAAGGCGATCTTGGTATCGTTGGAAAGCTCTGGATTTCTCCTGCGCGATCATGCATTTAGACTTGGAGAAAAACACAGAGGTGATAAAATCCAACAGCCATGCATAATAAATTATGCTCATGCAAATGACGTAAGCATGAATTGCACGAGCACACAGCAGGACGTTAGGATGACATGCACTCACACTGACGTGCATACAACACACCGCGCATCTGTTTGGTTCTTACAGGATGTACATGCTGGGATGGGACGCCAATAGGGAACACCTTGAATGGAAGACGTAAGCACAAGTTTACAGAAAATGTTTTAATGATATGCTATGTGATAATAGACAACTGTGTGAACTTGAGCATAACTGGTACATGTTCATTTTGGTGTTATTACATGCGATCCATGCACTTGCGTTTCGGCAACGTTACTAGTTCCTACCCCCATAATTGATACGCCATGCTGCAGCGTCTTGTGTGTTTGCAAAAGAATCGTCAGTCCCCATGAATGTTTTACATATAACCTTATATGCAAAAGCACATATCATACCAAGGACTGCATACAATCAAACTGCTCTCTTTAACCAAGCTCCCACCCCTTAACAACCTCACCTATTTCACATTTCCTCTTCCATCCCCTTGTCGTTCCCCTCTCACCTTCCCAGAATTGCTTCCTCCTCAACGCCATCTCACTCCACCTCCTCCACCGATTCCTCACTCCCCTCCCCTTCACTCCCCTCCCCTTCACTCCCCTCCTCTTCACTCCCCTCCCCTTCACTCTCCTCCCCTTCGCTTCCCTCTCCCTCCTCCCCTTCACTCCCCTCCCCTTCGCTCTCCTCTCCCTCCTCCCCTTCACTCCCCTCCCCTTCGCTTTCCTCTTCCTCCTCCCCTTCACTCCCCTCCCCTTCGCTTTCCCCTCCCTCCTCCCCTTCTCTCCCCTCCTCTTCCTCCCCCATCTCCTCTCCCCCTTTAGCCGCTGCACCCACCGTACGCTCTCCCTCGTCCAGGTTCGCCGTACCGTAAATCACCCTTCTTCGCCGTCTCGAAAGAAGCGGGCACCCACTGATAACGCATGCCTGCAGCTTCGCCATCTGCCGAAGCCCCGTGGGTAACCAAGCCAGATGCTTGCACCCGTGGAGGTGCAAGTCCTCCAGTCCAGGCAGCTGCGAAAACTTTTTGGGCAGGCTGCGAAGATTGGGCAGTGGGTTCAGAGTGAGGTCCTCGAGAGAAGAGAGCTTCCAGAAATCATCTAGAAGGCATGAGATTCCGATGCTGGAGAAATAGCACAGCTCCAGCCTGCTCAGTTGAGAGAAGGACTAGGGAACCCTGGTTAGGCCCGGGGTCTCATAAATCTCCAAAACTGAAGCATTTTCAGCTGCCCAAACGACTCGGGAAGCTCAGTCAGGCTTAGGAATTTGTCAATTTGGAGGGTTGTGAGCGCTGATAGCCTGCCTAGTGTTTCCGAAAGAGCCAGCAGGCTTTTGGCATGGCCGAGTGTGAATGACTGCAGGCTTGAGAGGCGGGAGATGGCATCTGGACGCGAGCGGAGCCGATGCATTTGCAGGATTTCCAGCTTTATAAGCTTTGCAGCTGGAATGGAAGTCCCGCAAGCTTAAGGGTTTGAAGGGATGGAAAGAAAACTCATTTGTCGCTTCCCTCCCCGAGGTCATGCTTGGCAGCTCCTGCGTTTTCATCCCCAAACAGCGACTCCAGTGCTCTACAGTAGCTCACTTTTAGAAGCTTCAAATGCTGCAGCTGACACAACGAGCGAGGGAGCGACTTCAGGCCAAGATATGAGAGCCTCAGATTCTCGGGTGCACCTAGCCGTCCAATCTCCTCTGGCAGCGCCGAGATTTGCTGGCAGCTGAGCAGCGCGCGGCTGGTGAAAGTGTGGGCGGTGAAAAGGACGAGAAAACGACTAAGGAACGAACGCTACAATCACTCCTATCCCATGCCTTTCCCGTTGTCTAACTCCCGTTGTAAGAGTTATATCCGCAACAACTACTGGCGGCGCTTGTCCCCGTTGCGGGCCTCCCATGATTGAAGACCTACCTCATATGTTCTTCGACTGTGGGCATGCCCCTGTGGTGGTCGAGCCAATTCACCACGTTGCTTCTCGACATTTTAACACAATGGTCGAACCCGCGGCTGTTTTCTTTCCGCTTCCTCAACCGTCCCGCCTCATCGCTCCATGGTGCCTGCTCATTGGGGCAGCTGCCAGAGTTCTCTGGAAGGACCGCTGCTCCTTTCACTATGAGCAAACTTTGTATACACGCCTCGAGACTCTCCACCATATTTTAGCCCTCTTCCTGACTGCGTGTAAAATCTACTTCAGCCGTCGCTCCAAATGGTCTGACAAGAAAAACGCGCCACTAGTAATCGAGTCAAAGCTGCCACTGTGTTACGGCTACTCATGTTTGGGTCTGACGGAACCCCACAACTTCATCCAACTCTTTGTGAATCCTGGCTGCTGAATAATACATCTCATCCCCCGTAGAAGCTGTTGGAATTTAGCTGCACAACCCGATAAAGGCTTTGGCCTTCATTCTATCTTTTGATAGACAAGTAACGTTGTTTCGGTGTAAGTCTCCTATACCTTGGCTTTAAGCCATGCTTGTGGAGTTGTACTGTTACAATTTGTACTAAGCAGAGTGAGCGGACGACTTTATAAAAAGGATTGTGATTAGATACTGAAGAAACAATGAAGAAAGCGAGCAAATATAGGGCGAAAACTAGCTAGGCGATGATTTTGCGACGTTCGTGGGTCGAAAGTGTTGGGCTGAGAAAGCCCTTAGGATCTTTTCAATGACTAAGGCTCAAGGGTGATGATGTATTAGCGGGAGCATTTTAATGAGACTGGTTGAACCACCTTGTACTTGTGTTTGAGAACAAGATAAGTTAATTATAATGCAAAGGTACTGGGTTTATATATGATTACAGAAATAACATAAACTTAACCACTTTGTGTCCAAATGTAACTGTAATTGCTATCGCGGTTTGATTCAGCGACGACTCGGGTAACTGCTCAATAGCGAGTCAGTTATTTGTCCTTGCTGTCGTGCTGTTTCGTCGAATCAAAGGTCACTGACCATTGACCTTCGCTTCAACTGCTTACTGTTGTTACTTTTGTCAACCGCTTCACTCTAGCTCGGTTGACTCGGTGTTGCTTCGCTGTGGATCTGCTTCGTTCTTGCTATAATGCTCGATATACCAGAAGCGCGAACTATATGTTTCCAACACTCCCCTTCGCTTCTGGAGTGTCGTTACTTTCGAAGCTGGTGACGTGGCCTTGTCCAGTCAGCAGCATGCAGTATTCAAATTTCTGCTTTCCAAGTTTCTTGGTCAGGTAATCTGCTGCCATCTCGGACGTGGGGCAGTAGGATAGCTCGAGTCTTCCTTTCTTAATCACGTCTTTCACGAAGAAATGTTGCAGAGCGATGTGCTTCGTTCGGTTCGCGAACACGTTCTTGTTCCCTATGCAAATTGCCGATTGGTTGTCGCAGAAGAGGGAGAAGTTGGGTAACTGAGCCAGTTTTGCTTCTTCCAGTCCTTCCTTGGTGGCTGTGCAAAGTTCAATGTATTCTGCTTCGGTGGATGTGAGAGCAATTAGTTCTTGTTAGCTCGACTACCATGAGATGGGACCGACGGGCTCAAGTCGATAGACGTAGCTGTTGCGCGATCGTCTGTTGTCGGAGTCGCCTGCGTGGTTGGCACCCACATAGCTGATTAGCTTTGGAGTCGTGGTTGCAGTTTTGTGGTAGGTTAGGCCGACTGCTGGTGTGCTGACAAGGTAGTGTAGTGCGCGATCGAGTTCCGCCATGTGTTCTTCTTCAGGCCTTCTCAAGTAGGTAGCAAGTTGGCTCGTCGAGTATGACAGATCCGGTCGACAGGTGACGACTGCGAAGAGTAGACATCCCAATTTCCGCTGGTAGTCGCGTAGGTCGGTGGCAAGGGGGTTAGATCCTTCCTGGTGATTTCCCGCAGTGTAGTGATTTCGGACGTATTGAAGTTCTCTGCCGTCTGGTAAGAGTAGCGAGTCCTTGTCGAGATCTCCTGCTCTTATTGTGTTGTTCAGTGTCGTGTTGCTGGGATGTCCCAACCTTTGATACCACTGTGATTCGTCAGCGCAATGTCCAGGTGATCTCTAGTATAGGTCGGAGTTGGAGTAGAAGCTGGCGGTGATGTTGGTGCTTCGGTGAGCGGCGCGTGGAGCGGGAGTCAGCTGTTGGGCGGGGGTCGGCGTAGACTCGTTGATGGGAGGTGGGGTGCTGTTGAAGGACCAGCGATGGGTGCTGGTGCTCTTGTCTCTGTTATTGCTTCTTCTTCTGCGGATGTTGCTGCTGCTGGTGTTGTTTCTATTGTTGCTTTTTCTTTTGTGGATGTTGCTGCTGCTGCTGTTGTCTGTTGTATTACCACTAACACCCTTGTCCGTTCTGCTTCAGGTATGGTGTGCGAGTACCAGAAGCCTCCGTGACTGAAGTCCGAGTCGAGATCCGGCGGGTGCGTCCAAGCGGTGAAGTTAACTATTCCGTCGCTGTTAGCAGTGCCTTGATCTGGGACGAAGTCGAGGACAAAGGAGTTGTTCTTCAGGACTGCCTTCCCGATGTAGAGTCCGCCCTTCCCGTGGCACAGGTTGAACTCTTGGGTGGTGCTGTCGGCTTCAAGGTGGATCCCTTTTGCCATAAGCTAGCTTACGATGAATAAGTTGTAGCCGAGTCCTTCTGCAATCAGGACTTTTGACATCTGCAAAACAACCTTAGTCTCAAGAGGCTGCAGCTGAACTACCCCTTGTCGTCGTGTGCGCAGGTACTGGTTGTTGGCGATGGTTATCACGACTTCCCGGTTGAGGCGTTGTTCCCGTTGAACAGAGCGATATGAAGAGCACATGTGTTGTTCGCAACAGCTGTCCAAGAACCACGTGTCTCGGCCGGACGTCTCGTTTTGAGTGATGGTGGCGTACTTTGGATTTGGTTCCAGTGATTCGCGACGAGGCGTGTGTTCGTCGAGCAGTTCTTTTGGGGAGTATTTCGGTGGTGATTCAGTGATGCATGAATTCGTTCTTGTCATGCAGCTGACGATGTTTCTTGTTCCTTGTGCAGGTTGCAGTGTTGGCATTGAATACCGCACTTGATTTGAAGGTTGTAGTTGCGTGGATGTCACTTGACTTCTTGAAGGTCGGAGCTGATGCGGCGGTGTTGATTGCTGATTATTCGGGCAGTTGACGCGCGAGTGTCCTGGTGTTCGACAGAGATGGCAGAACGGCGGTATGTATCTCCGTGCTTGATGCTCGTGTTGTGGGTTGCTGTTACTGTGGCGCCTCTGAGTGTGAAAGGCGAACTCTGGTACGGACGTCCTTTTCTTGTGTCTTTCTTCGTGCAAGTCTATATCTTGTTGCTTAGCATGGAGTTCTGCGCAGAGGCTTGCTTCAGAGAGTCTTCCGTGGGCCTAGAGAATGGCTCGGGTGGAACGCCATTGAGGACCGAGGTTTGCGAGGACGATAGTGACGAAAACGTCTTCGGATAGTGTTCCGTCGCACCGAAGGAGTCTATCGCGTAGACCGCGGCAGCGACTGATATAGGCCATTGCCTTTTCGCCGAGTTGCATTTGGACAGTTGTTAATTGCGCCATGAGGCGACTCTGATTTACGCTGTCGTTTGCTTGATATAGGCTCTTCAGGTAGTTTTAGGCGAGCTCGGTGGGGTTACCATATCCACGATAAGTTCGAATGTTCTGCTGCTCGCTTGCCGTGATGTTTCGCAGGAGGATGGTGTACGCCATTTGTGACTGATACGTGTACTGCTATTTGTCGTATTGTGTCCCGTGCGTTGGGTATGGCAGGGAACCGTCGAAGAACCCGAGGATTTGGGCTACTTCCATCATCAGTTTGACTTCGAAGGACCAGGTATGGAAGTCCTTCCCGTCGAATGGTGTTGTCGTTTGCAGTTTCAACACGTGTGCGAATCTTGACTACAG